AAATCCTAGTCCATTTCTGAGCCCAGGTTGCCGAAATAAATCATATATTATATATTTATAATTAAATTGAGCTTAATTTCCAGAATGCTACAACGGATGTCACAACAGATGTCACAACCGCTGTTACAATTGATGTCACAACAGATGTTACAAAACGGCTAATGGAAAAATGAAAACCGTGTAAAAGAATTAAATGTATAATCCATTGAAACTGTTAAAAATTCTTTCATAACTGACAAAGTAATACTCGATAGTTTTCCAAACGACGTCCATTTCAATGAACAGAGAACATCGGCTGTACGGAATTTCGTTTGAAGGAAGAATTTCGGAGAACCATCTGATTCGATGGAAAGTGAACATTAAAACCGAGCTAGATTCCTTTCGGCAAACAGAGACTAGCCCCTTTCCGTAGGTAGAACCGTAATCACGTTTATACGGCCGTGATCGTCCGCTCCGTAACGCTTAGTCTAAAACGAATTCCCTCGCCGATGTACGCTCGTTTCCCGTTCCTCTCCTCGCATACGAATTAATTGCATTATCGACGAATCGAATGAATGAGCACGTTGTTCCTCTCCCCGCTGCGCGACCGGACAGTCGAAAATTCTGTTCAATATTCCATGCCTGACGCACTTCCTCGAAACAAGACCTCCAGCGGATACAAAACGAATGAAACAGAGAAGTTTACGAAGCATAACTTGGTGATTGAATCAGAAAAGTTGATAAAGAATTATGCATCGAGGTGCGATACATCTTGTTAAGGTTCTATTCATATACGACGTAGAGCCGTGAGGGCCTTTCCCGCACCGGAACACCGATAAAGGATTTTTTCACCGGCGCACGACATCCTCGACTATCGTCGATTGTGTTTAAGGAGCATGACGAGCCGGACACTGGGTGGGATAACCGTGTATGGAAGACGTATCATTAAAAGGGGACACAACGCGTCGAATCTGCGATTCCGATCGTGAGACAGGGTTTAATGGACGCGCATGACTAACCATTTCCTAACGCGGTATGTACGTAAAAGTGTTTCGTGTTAAATCACGGATTCGCCTTGTTAGATTACACGCGGAGAAGAGCGACAAACACACGCCTACGCGTGATTATCGTTATTATCTTCCTCCTGTTCTCCATAAGATTCCAACGAACACGATCTTTCAGATTTTATTTCTCCAAATCTAACGTGCAAGAAATTCTGAAATTCATAGGAAGTCTATTATTATACGAATGAAATATGTCAGAATTTTTTCAATTCGTTTTGAATACTTTCAAATTTTGCCAAATTCTGAAGGGTGTAACTTCTTGACACTCGATTTTCGCGATTTTTAGTATTTAATTTCTACGGTTCTAGCGTATATAACTTAATGAAAAAATTCAGAGTTGTACTTCTATACGAATGATATAAGCCTGAATTTTTTCAAATCGATCGATCGATTATTTGTATTAAAAAAAATCATAAAAACCGCAATTTTCGACGAAAATTCTGAAGGAATTCTCGATATTTTTCAGATTTAAGTTTTGCGCCGTACGTGTAGTACACGTGTCGATTTGTCCAATTAAACGCGGATGGAAAAGTCACTATTCACGTCAGAAGAATCGCGCTACTATCCGACCTCCCACGCTAATGAGTTCATTACAATCGGCGATGATCGTCGACCGGTTTCTGGCACTCGCGGATCAACAACCAGCATAGCCGGCTTTTCAGCGATTTGCAACGCGCGTGCACACACGATCCGGCGAGAGCAAACGGATCGATAGCCAAGGCGCCAATCAAATGATAACGAGCAGACGAAACGCTGCTACCATCGAACACTGAAAAAGTCTGTAAAAAAAAAAAGAAAAAAATGGAAAGCGGGCAAACATGTAAGCTTGTTGGCGGTTTAATTGGAAGTGTGGGATGCTCCACAGTGACGATGGATTCGACAGATGTTGCTTATTTCTTGACTGCAGTTCCAATGCTGTGCGGTTCGAGTACGACTGTTGTTGTCTGAGTGTACGTTTACAAGCGAAATAAGAACGGATAATACATTATTAAAAAAAACTGTATGTAAAAGGGAAATAAAAATTGCACGATTAATCTAGCATGATTTATGAATCCCTCACACTCCTCGTATCCGCGTTAACGAATTGGGAGACGTAAAAGGAATAACATGACATATTACGAGGCTTTATTTTCCCATAAATTAATGTTAAGATATAAATGATAGATCAGTGAACAAACCGCGTTACGTTATCGGCTCTAATGACCCGCTAATTGCTCGGCCAGTGGCTTTCTATAAGTCTTTGATAGTCGTATAAAACAGGCTGAGTGTCTGTACGCTTCGTTTGAACAGATGAATGTCAAGCTCGATTAATCGACCCGAGGATCAATGCGTCGACTGATTATTACTCGGAATTTATGAGCGACCAGTTCGGAAATTATTTTTATCTCTTATTGTGCAGTATTTGTATCTATCCATGTTTCATAGATTTTTCGAAGAAGACCTGTTGCCTTCAGAATATTTAAAATTCTCTGACAGACTGTTAATTTAATACTGAAATCAACAGCTTCCTTCCTGTATTTATTTCTCAAAAGGAGTTCAAACTGAAATACGAGTTTCTTTCACGGATTTATCGGTCGAAATGTGAACGCGGGAAAAATAGAGTTATTTCGATTTCACGGCAGGCGACGCGTCGACGAAATCCTTTCGGGATCGATTGAACGAGTTTCAAAGCCCCCTTTGAACGTTAATGTGATTAAACTTTTAATTTGGTAAAAAGCGAGGCCGATGGAAGGAAATGCCACTGGCTCCTACGGCTCGCTCGTTCGGTTTCTTTTTGTTTAAAACGTCATTACTTATTCGCCGTTCCTCTTCAGCTGCGCCGTGAACGGGATTTGTCGGGTGAAAAATTTAGCAGGAAACAGGAACCACCGTGGATCAGCTCCACGGTGCCAAATGGGAAACCGTTGTCCGCGTTAGGTGAATCAGTCGGACCATCAACTACCTGCTATGCTCCATGTATGTGTGTACTCAACACAACGCGTACGGACTGGCATGCGAATAAATAGTGCGAGAGGAAACGAACTGCGCTTGTTGCTCGCTACCGGCGACTAATCTTCCACAGCCGTTGTTTTACGGTTTCATTAACCACCGCGTACGCCTCGGTAATGAAATGATTCGAGCGGACTGTCAGTCCTTAACCAGGCAAACCTTATTTCTTTTTTGGCAAAACGATTTTTTAAACGCTACATTGATTGGACGCAGTCTACTGCACGTTGGATGCAACTGTTACACATTTATTTTAGCATCAGATGAAATATTCGCGATTTGTTCATCAACTTGTCACAGTAAAAGTTATAATTTATCAAACCACGTTGTTGGACCAACAGGAATTATGTCTGCGAATCCCATGAGTTCTTTTGTCAAGTTTAATTATTTTCTCGTGTCCTCTTTTTCTCCTATTTCACAATTTCTATTGTCACTGACTTATTATTATATGTAAATCGATAAAGAAAAACGTAAGTGGATAAAACTTGTGATGTGAATAAGAATTGAGACGTTTACTATGCGTTCTCGTTTGACAAAGAGGTGAACAAAGGCTCCTTGGTAGAAAATGTACTTTACCTGATATCAGAGGGAGGAATCCGATCAAAAGGAAAATGCCCGTCATCTTTCCAAATCTCGATTCCCTGCATTCACTAACTCCACGTTATATCTGTCCCATCTTATACCCTCCAGTGTCTCGTTTTAAATCCGCTTGTCGCACGATCCCCGTTAGACCGTTGTTCTCCAACGGATCACAGAATGAAAGTCACCCTCGATCGAAACTCTTCTTCTTAAATTTAAACCTGGAGAACAATCTCAAGCGATTTCACGAGATCACAATTGTATCGAAGTTCTAGGAAGAGTTCACGCGAGTCAAGGTCAAGCGAGTTCCATGTGGCAAAGAAAGTTCGCCCCAAAAACTGGTCCCTGGTCTATGCAAATTCCGAGTCACATTAGAAAAAACCACAACGATTCCATGGAGGCTTGCGAAGATTCAAGGGACCAAGAATTTTACCAGTACAAGAGTTCCACTAGTTTCTGGAATTTAGAAAAATTCAAAGACCCAGGAGTTTCACTAGTTTCCGGGATCTGAAGTGCCTCGGTAGGCCGCGCACGAAGAGCGGCTCAAAGAGATCCGTGGGACGATCGATGGAGAGAACGATACGGAGCACGCGGTGTTCAACCGCCGGTTGGTGTTCGCAGGCCGTGTGACACGGTGCACAGAGCGCGGTACGAGACCAGTTTGGAGACTGAGTACGAGTCCATATCCCGGAGGCTGACTTCTCTCGGCCCTACCATGGTACCCCGTGCAGTAATAATGCCTCCGCCTCTGGATAACGTTTCCTTCCACCATTAGGCAACACACGCCGCGCTCATGAGACACGACGATCGCCCCTGTGTCTCGAAGAACCGTTGCAGGATTATCGCAAATCTCAGTAGTTTCTAGCTGCTGATTTCTTCTCGGGCTCGTTCAAGAAGAAGATGAAGAAGAAGAAACGCGACGAGATTGAAGATGTATATTTGAAACAGCCGCGCAGGGAACGCGTCGTAAATAACGTAGTAGTGACGTAAGGGGGAAAATATATTAGAGATAATACTTTTAAATTTCGCACGCGCTTAATTATGAAACATATCAGATAAGATTCGATAGAAGAGAATCCTTTGTAGTGGAAATTACAATCTCAGTCGTGCTGAACCGAAAACGTTACGAATCTGGACTTGGTACTTGGGAAATTAATTAAAACGGAAAATGAACTTAACGTAATTAAACCGCGGGAGACACCTTTCGAATGATAATTACGAACTGCAGGAAAATATATTTCATTAATACAAAATAATGGTACAGCAGTAGACGACGGCGGTACAACTTTTCGCAAGCGTTAATAACTAACGAGTAATTAAATAAACAATAAAATTATTTATTGCTTTATGAAACTTATTCTTCATTCTAGCGAAATCAAATAAACGTTGTACCTTCAGCTGCCATCTAGAGGAAAGATCTTATTAAAGTAAAGAAGAATAACTGTAGAACCGACACTAATAGCTGCCACTGGCCCATTACCTGCGGCAAAGGAGAACCTTTAAAATGATGATCTTTCTTGTAGCTTTCAGCCAGAGCTACGACTTTTATTTCAAACAATTAGGACCAATAGTTAACGAGTTATTGACGAAGAAGTAAATTAGTTCCGACATTCGCCATGATTCGGCTAATGGCAGCACTTGTCGGGTTCACGGAATTAAAAGAAAAATTAATAGGACTTCTTATGGACCTTTTGTAGAGTTCTAGAGCTACAAAGAAGGTCATATGCGATTATCTTTTAGCTCTACTAGTTACCTTTTTACATATGTATGGATTTATCAGAACCAGTATTCAGAATCGTTACTTATTCTTAAGATCGTCTTAATTAAGCATTTGTTATCCCTGTTTATCCTATATTTCCAGTCCCTGTCTTGTACAGGAATAAAAAACTTCAGCAAATACTTAAGGCGATCTTAATTAAATTTAAGTAACGACTCTGAATAACGGCCAATGGGTAAAGCAGAAAGGAAGCGAAGCTCACTTCGTCCGACAAATGTTTTCCGCCACGAATTCGAAAGGAACATTTGAAAGTACACACGATGACGTTCCAAAATTTACATTAACCCCACCTAAATCCCTAAATTCTTAACGCAACATATTTCGGATTCCCACCGCCCTGTACATCCTTCAACATCATCGTTTCGATGGATTCTATGTGGACGGAATCTCGTTTTATGCCTGCGAACGATGAGGACCTCGCGAACGGAGCGTGGTGCCACGACGCACACATGCTACAAGAGTTAATAAGATTGAACGAGTTCATGAAGAAACAGACGGACTTCAGCGGCGATAAACTTCCGGATAACGTCGACGTTAAAGAACCCAAGAATCAGAGTAATTATTCAGAGAAAAGAGCAAAACCCGACGCACGCGAAGTACATATTCAATCGATTACGAAGAGTATCTCTTCTTTGGAGGGGAAGAACATTTCCTCGAGCGTCACTGTATTGAACGTTCATTCGAAAACTACCTTGAAAACGACGGAAGGCAAGGACAAGGTTCCTCGAGCTTCGACCCCGAAAAGGGGTGAACGTTCCCCAAATAAAAAGAATCGATCTCCTAAAGTAAATTCACATCCTCATAGCAAGTATGAGAGTTTTGGTTCACCAAGGAGAGACAGAAGGGCTAATTCTACTTTTCAAACCGAATTTCGTGTTTCACCAAAGGGAACGTGTAGCGTGTATAACAGAAACACTGTCGATTCTCTTTTCAATTGCCCTTTCGAATTAGTGGAACTCTATTCCAGTAAGAAAGGTAAAAGCGAGAGCGATTCTAGCGCGAATCAACGGAACTCGATGGTCTCTTCCCCGAGAAACGATGGGAAAATCGTATCTGTGGATGCTGATTTCCTATCACCGGAAATGAAGAAGAAACGTAGTATGGATCCTAAAAACATTAAAACTAATTCGGAAGACGTTAAACTAAATCGACGTCAACAAGTGGCAGTACAGAAAAATAATTTAAATTTGGGAAAAGTGCAGGAAAATTCAAATGAAAGTAGCTTCGAGAAAAGTATACGAGTGAAGAATTCTAATAAATGTAACGCGAGAGAAACGTATTATCACGAGAATGGGAGTCAGATGTTGAGATTACAACTACCAGACACTGGAATCGAAGATAACAAATATGAAGATAACGCTTCAACATTACCTGAGGAAACTAACGAAATTACTATAATAGCAGATAGGACACGTACAATGGAAGAAAAGAGTGCCTCGATAACCGAAGAACGGGAAAAGCCTGAAAAATTTATCGCAGCAAGCAACGATGAGAAACTGAAACGTGATAGTCCTCGTGATAAAACCATGGATGAGAATGATCTACCCGGGAAAGAAGAGTGCAAAACGAAACGGCAAGATGTCAAATCTGACAGCAATCCTAACGAGTCCTCAACCGATAGCGAAAGTAAAATGTCAAAAAGCACAATGGAATCAGAGGAGTCCAACAGTTTCGGAGATTTGAAAACCGAGTCATCGTCAATAGACAACGTCGAAGGCTCCAAAGAAGTAAGACCGAATCCCGAGGATTTGAAAGAGGAATCAGCTGAAAACAAGTTTAAGATAATAATCGAGAAACGAATGAATAAGCCAAATGATGTAAAAAAACGAGAGACCAAGATAATCGATGCTAATTTATGTACTGACAACGTGCAACCGATGGGTCGTAAAGATGAGGGACAAGAATTCCAAGATTCTTGTAATAAAAGTATGAGGTTCGATACCCAAGATGCAACACGCGGAATAACTTTCCGAGAATCCAGTCGAAACATCGATTGTGAGGACGCTAACATATGCAGGATGTTGACAAAGATTCATGAACGTTTGGCTATCGACTGGCAGCGGATGATGAGGCTTCAGATGAAACTGCAGAGCACCGTTTGTCCGGATTCTGCTAATACGATGATGCTGATGTTACAGTTACTGGATAAAACAATAGCTAGGTAGCGAAACAGATTATCGAGGAGTGTTTTCAACTAAACGATTTTAAATAGGCTCCATCATTGACGTATTTCATGATGGAGTTACATCTGTTAAAAGGAAGACACGCAATGCCTTGTCTTCTACGCGAGTTTCTTCTCGCGATTTCCGATACACGATTATCATATCATACTTGCTAATCCTAGTCTTAATCCTTTCCTGATTCATGTAGTCTTTTTTATTACATGTATTTAAAATTTTATATATGTTTTTCTTTTCTTTTCTTTCTCTTATCTTATGTCCATTATTTTTACTATATTATTACTGTATTCTTTCTATTGTATGTTATAATGGGCTTTGCCCGTGAAATAAAATGTTATTATTATTATTATTAAATGTTATGGTGCATAGGTGCAAGAGTTACATTCACGGGTCGAACGACGGATTCGAAGCTGAGACGAGCATCACTAAACTGCTGTCGAAAAACATCCTCGATTTGGTGAAAGTGGTCAACAAGAATAGAATCACTTTGGAAGATCAAGGTTCCATACAGTTATCTTATAAGCAAAAATGATTTAATCTATTAATCGATTCGTGGTTTGCATTATAGAGAAACGAGTCGATCAAATGCAGCTAGAACTGCTCCAAGGGCGTCATGCGCCCAAAAAAGTAAGACCCAAAGCACGTTATCGATCTAAGATGTTTCTATATTTGAAATGAATTTTCTGTAACGAGTCTAGAGGAGTATCTTGAACGAGATAACGTTGACTTCGAATTATTGGGCGAACGAAATATCCTGCATAATAGAGACCATGTCGCGTTTAGTAAAGAACGTGATGGCAGAGAATGAAGAGAAGGAGAACGTTCGTAGCCCGCGGAAATCAAAAGCGTCGCAGCGTCGAGTGTTCACTAGTTCTTCTGCTAATGATACTAAGTAATTTCAATTGCCTGTGATATTAATTTTAACTCGGCAATTCCACTCTTGGGTCTAACTTATGCTCTCCACAGTGCCACGAATGGTAACTGACTACTTCTCCTATAATCGCGCAAATCCTTCGATATGCCAACGCAGGGTCCATGAATCTGCGCAAAGTCTTTAGACAGACATTAAAATTTTAATATCGCATTCCAGACAAAAAGTAGGACACGTTCGTACAAGAAGCGCCAGGCCGAACGTAGCGAAAAAGGAAAGTGCCGTCGGAACACAAATGTCCTGCGTTTCGAATTCCGTGAATACGTTGAGGCAATCGAGATCCAAGACATACACTAAGTCCTTCGGCTCAGCGAGAAGCCCCAGGCGAGAAAAGCATCCTGATAATATTCAGACGAATACAGATAAGAAGACGGTTGATAACAGTCGTCATTGGGAGAGAATCAAGTCGTCTAAAATAGCGTTGAACGCTAGTTCTAGTCAGTATAAGCAGACAGTGTCCAGGCAGAAGCATCGAGCACCTGGCAATCAACCCCAGCCTTGGAAACCAGGAGGTGGGCCTGTGTCCAAGATGCCAGCATCGAACAGTGTGATCACGTTATTACAGAAACCACAGAAAACGACGCACCTCAAGGAAAACGCTAAGTATGCAATTTTAAACATTTCTTCCTTTTGCTTTGTTAAAGTGTGGAATTGCGTTATAATATCATTAGGTCAACAAATAAACGGGGAAATTCGATGGACCACATCCTCACGAAGAAGAATCTTACGAATATGGATGACAACGGGAAACGAACTACGAGGACGCACAATTATACGTAAGAACTTTAAATATTCTTCATTTTCCCAAACTAATTGATCTTATGGCATGGAATGACCCTTTCGATGTTACGCGTTCAGCGGAGAGAAACAGAGAAACGAAGCAAAGAGAAAACCATCCGAAACGTATTCCACAAAAACCACTGTGCCTGTCTTAAACATCGACAACTTAAACGCAGGGGACAGAAGCAGTATAAGCTTAAAAGCAAGTTCCATGATGAAACCAAAGCCAAAAACATCAGCTAGAAGTTACAACGAGTCCCTAAGAAGAGGTTCATCGGATCACGCCTGTCCAAGGACTTTCACGAACTCTTCCTGCGAAGTTGATAGGAAATCCGCGAGGCAATCGGAGATCCTTCGGGAATTGGAAGAAATTATTAAGGATGCACCGAAAGAGGAAGACAAGGACTCCGAGGATTCACATTTTTACCAACTGTGCAATGAAACCAGTTCCGTTTCCTTCGATTCGCGTAGGTCAAATTTGTTTAACGAAATTCCAAACGACGAGGAACCTACCAGAGACGTCGATTACTATCGATTCGATATAAGCGAAATGAAGCTCAGTGAAAGATTTTTCGAGGACAGTCAAATGATGGATAAGATTTCAGAGAAGTCCTCGGTGCCTGTTAACGAGAGAGAGTCGATGGAATTCTCATCTCTCACGAACGTCAAGGACGATTCTCAGCCGGGCGCTGGTCCTCTGGAAACCAGTGCAAGCTGTACTCCAAGTGTCGGGTCCAGCTCTTCGTCGAATCTCTGCTGCCAGGAAAAAACAGTCACGAGAGATGATAAGGAGGCACAGAAACATGATATCAGGGAACCGAGGAATGTTAATTCACTAATTAAAAAGGATAAGATTAGGATGAATCCTCACGCAGTTTCGTTGAGCATGCTGAAGGACTTCCTCTGCGATCAGGGAATCGATGTTGATTTAGTTAACAAGGCTGAGAAGAATTTGAAGGACAAACAAAAGACCTATTTAAAGAGAAAGTCCATCAGCTTTGCCAATGTGCCGACAAACGATGATAATTTTCTCAGAGTAGATAGTAAGAAAGAATTGAAGGGAACTGTTTTGCATTTGCAGGAAATGAAGGACAACGCAACGTGTACGATTATAAGCTGCAGCAATGCTTATTCGCAGACTATCGTTCGTTGCATGGTATCGAAAAGCTTGCAGACGATACCTAATCCAAAGATTCAAATTTGGAAGCCTGCCATCTTGCGCGCTATAGAGACGCAAACGGAACTGAAAGCAAGAAACGCGTGTTCCATGACGGACGATTTCGACCAAGAAAAGAATCTGAAGCATCAAGATTTTCCTTTAAAAAACAGTTGCCCTTTTTACAGAACTTCGTCGCGATCAGCTGACTTCGAAGAAAAGATAAGTAGAAACAACGAGGGCTCGAAGGAGTGTTCTCACGTATTGCAAGAACTGTTGTTGAACCGATTGAAGGAAGAATCGAACGAGTCTCTATCCAACGTGAGACCAACAGACTCAAACGAGTCTCTGTCAATCAGTTATTCGGATTCTTCAGTCGAATCGTCGAAGAAGTTCAGCGCGAACGAAGAAGAAGACCAAAAGCCTGTCAACGTGATTTCTAGCGAAATAGTGGCAGCCCTTCGGCTGGCGGAGATCCGGGGAAGAAACGTGTGCAAGGCACTGGAAATATATAGAAGGACCTTGCGGAATAAAGTGAAGAAGCTGAAGAAACGAACGAAGCGCAGGAAAACTATCAGCAAGATATTGAAAGGATCGAAAGAAGAATGCAGAAGTCTATCGGGGAGCGACAGTGTAAAGATGATTGCGCAGAAGAAGAACAAGAAGAGGAATGAAATAATTGAGGCTCTGCGGCAAGCGGAACTCGCTTCGACGTTCAGTAAAACTTCTTTCGATCCTCAAAGCGAGTCCCAAGAAGAATATTTCGAGTCCGTTGGACCGTCGACGGTGACTCCTTCGTCCAGCATCACCGGTGAATTCTCGAATCAACTGGTGGTTCAAAGAAAATCGTCTAGCAGCGTTACAGCGAGAGATGTGAGGTCCTTGATAGAATTTCTCATCGACGAGACTAGCGACGTCAAGTTCGAAAGCACTGAAGGGACGAATCTCAACGTCTGCGCTGTATTTTATGGGAACACCGATAGACGGTTTTCTTTATTGTCCAGGGAGAATATATTATTGCCTTTGATTTATGGTATACTATGCTACGTTGTCTTCTGGTGTCTGCAGTTTACCATCGTCTGTGATGTCTCGTGATTCTTCCATCCTTTTATTTCAAGTTCCTAAGTGTTCTAAGTCGTTAGCATTTTTTACACTTTAAATGCGCGCCTTGTTTGTTCAGCAATTTGTATTTTATTTATTTAGTGTATTGACAATTAAACAGAAATACAACGAAAATTGTTTTAATAATTAAAATACAGCAACGCCACTTAGGCAGATCCTCGAAATTGACAAAAGAAAAGTATATAACTATTACAGTATCGATAGCAAGATATCCAGTTTATCCAGCTTTGCGGTTCTATTAATAATGAAAATGGAAGAAACGGAAATGTTCATTCGTCTACGTCAAGAACGTCGATGGCAGCGCTTCCGGTGACGTCTACTAGTTCCTTAGACGTGAAAGTAGCGATGACCTTTTGAGATCCAGGCTTTTGAGGGACAAGTTGATGTTCAACGTAGACTTCTTCTTCCGGTTCGACGTCCCTAAATCCGATAGTCTTGTTCTTTGACAGTCCTGGACCAGCGTAATTGAACTTGCATTCCGTCAGAGGAATTTTCAATGGGTTCTTGAAGCTGAGAGTGATCGTCGCTGGCACGCCAACTTGGGGGTCTCCCTCGATCTAAAAAATTTTTATGAACTTCCCACATGCGTCCATCTAGAGGAATTTGTGTAATCAGTTGGCTTACCTTGACTACGATACTTGGTTTTAATACTTGGAAGTCATCCTCCTCGGCCCATGTCTGCTTCGTCTCTGCGACCGTGGCGATACAACGTAATTTCATATTGCAATACTCGACAAGCTTGTCCAAATAATCTTCTACGGTGACTCTAAGCCTCAATTGTTCGCCTGCAAATTAAATTGGACAGGCGTGAATTAGCATCAACGCATAAATCTGTTCCCTAAACGATTTTTAATTAAAAAAAACCCACTGGCTTGTGGCTGAAGCACGAAATCCCCCGCAGCTCTCTTCACCAGATGGGCCTTGACACCAGTGTAATATACGCTACCAGCGGAGAGGATGGCTTGAATAGTCCGAGGCTGGTTCGATTTGTTCTTCATGTTCACTATTACTGAAAACGGTTCGCCGATATTCACTCGATCGAGATCGACGAGGTCGAATTCGACGTCCTCCTTAGCTGGCGAGGGTAAAGAGTAGAATTTCTTCGCGAGCGACGTGCTACGCACAGCCCTGTACAGCGTCAGCCGTTCTGCTTCCGATCCTGAATTACAAAATTCGAATAAAATAGAGATGAAACAATTTGAAATTATTTTATTAGGAGTTTTTAAGATTTACCCTCTTGCGCTTTGTAAATCGAAGTTATGTCCTCCCTGTCCCTGTCGCCATTAGGATCGAAGATCCAAGGGGCTTTCGTCAAGATCATTCGACCGATGCTATTAGAAAACGATCACTAAATTAGACGCGTTGTCAGATAACGAATCAATCGTAAATCCAGCAGCGAGAAAATACAACCGAGTGATTCTACGTTTTGCATATTTTATGTCAGGATTATGTAAACTGACAGCGCATTATTAGCAGCATCAAGGTGAAGACCGTCACCGCAATTACGAATTTTTATGAGGCGACTACTCACTGATACTTATTGCAATCGATCTTCCTATACTGAATCTCGCTTTCGGGGTCCTCTATCCACCTCATCAGGTCAGCGTTCACCGAAGCCAGCATGAAAGTAACATCATAATTGAATCCGACGTTTCCTTGTTTGATCGCCTCGACAGAAGCTGGCCCGCACTGATAAACCCCGTCAGAAGTTTCCTGCGGCGTAGCGTCGATCGCCTGCCAGCCACCGTAGCCTTTAGGCAAATCAGGCCTGGCCATCCAGACGTCGTTCCAAACGTGATAATTCCAGATCGAGTCCTCGCCATATGGATTGTTCGGGTCGAAATCGAGCTCCTCATTGTCTTTGCTGTAGTAACGATCGACGGAAAGCGATGCATTCGCGTCGTGGGCTGATACTAGGTTTGAAACGACTCTGGATGGTATTCCTAGGGCGCGACAGACGCTGGTCACCACCCCGGCAAATACCCAGCATTGCCCGTATTTTACAGACTCGCCGGTTTCTAAGAATTCCTCAAGAATCGCTACGCTTCCGGTCCAAGCGGCTGGCGCGGTACCATCTGCGTAATCACCGTCCCATCGACCGGTTACTACTCCCCTATCATCGTTCGAATTTACCTGTGCATCGATACATGTTCGTGAAATATTAGGAAAGTGACAACCCTGCCCCCTTGCTCTTGACCTCTGGTTTAATAAAGAGCTTACGATTCTCGAAAGGGCCCGACACAGTTGAACCGGATCTCCTCTGGAATTAGCGCTGATCCCTGATCTCTGTATCAACGATTCGCAAGCTGGAAGCACGCAGGCATCGAATTGGCCAAAAACCCATTCCCTCCCACGCGAGCTTCCCCAAGGGCCAACCCAAATCTTTCCAACGTCGTTCAAAACGTACTCATCTAACAGCTGCTCGTCCTCCAGATACACCAAGTCCTCTGAAGATAAATAGATAGCCTCAGAAACTGAACCGCTGACTAGAAAACCACTTGGCAGAATCATTTGTACCTTTCATCCAAGGATTGAACAGCAGATAAATGTCTCTATCGTAATTATAAGTATTCGGGGGTTCTTTGCTATGGAGGATTGTCGTCTCTATGTTCAACTGCCATATTCCAACGGGACTGTCTATTGGGCTTCTGACTTCTACAGTTAAGAATTCTTCGTTGACGCTCATCATGCGGACCCCCCATGCTTCGAGATCGGTCAAATAACTATCTCTACTGGTGATAGTGTTCACTCCTCGAGTTCCTCTGATTATGTTCGGATTCGGTCCAAAATTGAACAATAATCTGACGATATCTGTTTCGTCTACGTATTGCCGATTGAATCTCAACGCGACGGTGAAGGATTCGCCCCTTCTGAGTACTGCCGTCGGTGGGTCCAAATGGACCAATTCGTAATTGAAGGTGTGATGAGATTTTGCATTCTCTTTTGGGTAGAAGTAGACTTCTTCGACGACTAATGGCTCGGTCGACATTCTTTCAACTACGAAAGATTTCAGATTCGGTTATAAGGAATGAATAATTTTATTGGGGAAGAAAGGAATTTCTGTTTTGCTTAATTGTTCATTGGAGGAATGTATAAAAAATCTAATCTCCTGAGTTTTCTACGCTGTTGTTTATATGTAACAATCAAAATCAATAGTTACAATCAAAATCAATTTGACCGAAACTGGTAGCCGTGTGGAGTAGGTCATTGAGAATCGTGATTCATTTAATTTCTAGGACTGTTAACAAAAAGCAGTACATCGCGTACAGTTATTCATCCTTGCAGAGAATCGCCAGCTATGCACGTATTACGAATACTGAAAATAGCTATGTACTCATTCATAGTACCTCGAAGATTTACTTCATAGTACATCGAAGGCTACTTTCATTCATCCTCTGATAGACACGCACAACGAAATGTAAATAACTATTCTTGGACATAAATTACGAAGCTCGTTAAGAATCAACATGTTAAAACAGAATTTCTGCTTAAAAGGATTGAAAATCAGTTACGCAACATTCTGAAGACCTCGAGTGATGAGTGAAAGACTTGTACCGAAAATACCAGACGAGTTTCACACTGAAACGCAGTCGGGAATTTACCATTGATTCACCCGTTGCGCAAATGTCTGAGATAGAGAACGTGAGCTGTTTCCCAAACGGATGTGTTTCACCCCTGAATGGAATCGATGATTCACAGATTTGTTCGACGAAATCGAAATGAACGCCTCGTGTATCAATAATATCCTATTTATCATGGATTATTAATATTTCATTTGCTAAGGTAGAAACAATACTTTGTTGGAATGAACAATCTTCAATGTGTTCATCCGCGAGTAAAACCGGTAGGAACAACATTCCGAATCTGATTTCCATAAACATTACGTAAGCGATTGATATGTGCGGTTCCAAGATGTATTTTTAAAGGATTTTTATTTTCTCCTCAGTGCGTTTGTTTTGATAATGATTGAAGCAAGTAGTATGGTTCATATTCAAAAAAAGAATTCAGATAACGATATTTTTATCACACGATCTATTAATCCGTTTGCTTGTTAGGTCTCTAAATAAATATCGATTACCAGTAATTCTGTTCATCCCATAATTCCAAATAAAAGAAGAATATGACTACTACTTGGAACAAGTATTGTAACTTACCTTGCAGTAGATTTTTGTTTGACGTTCGTCACTCAAAATCGAATAAACAGTAGTATGGAACAAGCAAGATGTCACAAAAGCAAATATTTCAATGGACCGAACCGGTTTTCAATCTGACAAATGAGTTACACTGTCACTGTCACTAACAGAGTAGTACTGTCTTTTTATATCAGCCGCAGCTTCCTTTAAACTGCGGGCGTCAAATCCCCACCATCACAGACGCACAGCAGTCTCCAGTCGTTCTAACAGCTAATTGTCTTGATAAAAGAATCATAACGCTTGTTCTAATTAGTTAAGAAAGAGGTGTATCAACTTGTGTAATTGATAAAACAAAAAAAATGAACGTACTTTTTATGATAAACTTGAAATCTACGGAAAATATCTTATCGCAAACCGCTAATTAGCGTGTGCATAAGTGGATGTTGTGGTTTTCTTCGAGATTCTTACATCGAGTTGAAGATACCTGAAAAACGAGTTAAAGGAAGAGAACGTGAGGACAAATGAAAACGAGTTTCTTCAATTTTTCATGAATTTATTTTTGCGCTCCGTTTTGTCGGACTACACAAATTGTAAATTATTGGTCTGCCTGTGTTTCGCGGATATTTCACCGTGGTTTCATTCTAAAACTTTCATCATTGAGATTAACATACACGCGGTGAGCTTCATCCTTCAGGAACCGCCGTTTCTTTAAATGCACTTACCGGCCGTTACGAATTTCTTTCGTTTTTATATGTCATACACTAATAATAAGCCTGTACGTTTTCAAAATTTAATAAACGAAATCGTTGATCTTGAGCGTCAATTGTTGAATAAAATAAGAAATACTCATTAACAAGTGACAGAATTATTTTTAAATAAATGTTTGTTAGAATCAATTCAAATCTTGATGCCAACATCGTTCGTACAATTAATTGGTAGATCAGGGACCTGTCCATAAAAAAGTACGCAACAATTGACAATTTCAAGATAATTCCTAATCAATACAGATTCCTAATTGTTCGATCGATGACGTCAGGCTCGAAACCGTACAGCCAACAAATTCGATTCTCGTGGCGGCAGCTCTCGCACGCGTTCGAACAAGCACAAATCAGGAGCTGCTATTTACGAAGCAGCATTCTAGAATTAATGGGTCGCCCGTTGAGCATCCGTTTCTAAAAGTGTCTAAGAAACATTACAATTAAGGCAAACGGTATTCGCACGTGAAAGGGAGAGGGAAAGGAAAAAAAAGAAGCTATCTGTGGACTGGTTCCCGCTAAAAATCTTGAAACTCCCAAATAAAGTTTGATCGAATATAAAATGCGAAGTGACGAACAAATCCCGGTATATTATTAACTATACATGTATGCTTCTGCGTTTCTTATTCCCGAATGCAACCGTTTCTCTTATGGCACACGCCAGGCACAAGTACACCACCTCTTCTCGAATATATCCCATGCGCTACGAAAGCATATACGATGTAACACTTAATTATAAATACCAGCGAGTCAAAATAAAAAATAGAATACAAAACAAGATTTACAATAATAAGTCCGTAGATCTCCAAACTCTAGAAAATAAATTAGTATATTAAATCGACGAGTAAAATGTATCTTTCATATTTTTTTCGATACTCCTCAATAAAATAAATGAGTACAATAGCAAAAGGAGTCGCGTTAAAATTAACTAGTTCGATCACGATAAATTATATCGAAAAGGAAAAACGTTCCAAGTGAATTTCACTCAGGCGTACTGTATTTTTTTTTGTTTTTTCTTCGTCGCTTTTATAAACATTAGCTAAATAATGTAACAGCACTTCTCTTTAGATCCGCCGAACGGATCCACGTAAAGACGACCGCGTTCGACCCGTATTTGGTCCGATCAGTGGCAACCAGTCTCACGTTCTCCCTCGATTGGGGGCTGGTGAACGCGGCCGCGTTTTAACAAAATGCAATCCTCGATCCTACTATCACAGTCAAGTCTCCCCGGTCTCTCGTGTTTCTCTCGTATTTTAAATCCGCAACTATAATAACACTTCTTCTTCGTCTTCGTTTTACATCGCGTCTTCCACACATATAGAGAAAAAGAACGTACGTGCGATCGTTACGGAAATATATTCATATTTCGCGAGCACTTAAATAAAACGAGAAGAAAAATAAGAACAGAGAGACGAAGAAAGCTACCGTTTCGTTACGATCAGAAAATACGTGTTTTTTCTTCGTAGGAACACCAATGTGCGCGGGGAATGCAAAGTTTTCTTTCGAAAGGCGCGATACTCGACATCCGACGAACTAGTCCGTCGGTGCATCGTACAAGCTCGTCTAATTTCTCGTTAGCTTTCTCAATATTCTTTTTCTCGTCACAGCTTGCTACGAAATAAGTGTCCTCAATAATTCTATGATCCTCGCTGCCTTATCACTCACAAATAATAGTGCTCCAGCTATGTAGCTTCGACAATATGTAATAATCAACAAGTAATCGCGAAATATGCATTACTCTATGTGTATACATATATATGTATACATAGTCTCCCCTTTTCTTTAATTATATTTATATATGTATATACCGCTTTGTTCATTTATACTCTTGTCCCGTGTGGAGCATATACATATGATACATGACTAGTTTTAAAAAAGAATAGAACGAAATTCCTTCGCTAGCCACTCGTCCCATATCTTTCGTCGATTTGTCAATAAGTTCGCGTACAGTATTTTACACGCTAAGAAATGATAAAATAATGTTACTCCGATAGCGTATCAATCTTTAAGCATTGATTAAGTTTTGCAAGACCTGAAGATCATGCTTCTGCCAATCTACGGATCGTCTCGATCTATCAAATTCACGGTAATTACTTCATCTTTCAGTTTATTCGTTCTGCTTGTGTTTTCTTTTTATTTTAAACTCTGTCTATTATTATTCTTGTAGCTTGTCCAGGTAAATTCTAGGTACATTAACGATATAATAATTACCTATCGAGGATCGTCATGAAGCGAACGAAATCAGTCGCTCGAATCGGCCTGTTCGATTTTATTTAACTCGTCGAGGAACGACGACGCGTTTATACGAGACGCTTCATACGCTAGCGAGGCGACGGGGACTCGTATTATTATTATTATTATTATTTGGTTGGATTAAATTATTTAGTCTTGTCGGGGGCTAACTCGGAGCGTTCTCCGACTCGACCACTCCACCGCCGGATACGCTCGGTTCTGTCTCGCCGGTCTGGCTCATCGACACGAACTGCTGCGACAACATTTGCAGGCTTTGCCGCACCTGAAACAATCGATTCCAACGTGATCAAACGAACGGACACAGCTGGGCCGAAGCAATAACATACAGTACTTAATGCGTACCGATTTACATTCCCATTCAACCCCGTATCGCAAAGCGTTGCTATGTCGAGGGATTTGTAGGATTTTGGAGAATTTGCAGAGATACTGTAGAGCATGAGAGAACATGAGCAGGCCACAGGAGAGGAATAGGAAACGTGGTAACGAACAGGAGAAATCCCTCCCAAAGGACGTTTTGATAGCAACGCTGCACAAAACCCAGTTAACCCTCACTGGTATAAGAAAAACGTAACGTACCTTGACTATTTGATCGAGATTTGTATTGAGATAATGCAAAAGTCGATCCTGGGTGAAACGCTCCGGCGATACGAGCGGGTGGTTCAGATACGCCGTGTGTAGCCTATCGATGCGGATCATCATCAGGGCCGCCGAGACGTACAGAGCTGCTAGGAGGACTATCAGCACGGTGATCACCGTGCTAGTTTTCACTCCGCCTGCTAGCAGGAACGAGGTAACTTTCGATTTGCTCGATGCTGGAAGCAACGGCACCGGCGGTTGTTCCACTCTGAAAATGATTTTACAAACACGGTTAAAAAACTCCCATTACGCATTACATGACACGTCGTTCCGATAATTGAATTTCTGCTATGTATATAAGAAACGAGTTCGATTGAATTCATCGCTCGTATAATGGGAAGAAAACTTACTTTGGGGGTGGTGGTAAACTGGGCCTAACGATGGCTGGCAACGGAACGGCGTCGGCCTCGGTACAGATAGTCGGCGGCCTGGAATTCAGGTCCGTCCCGCTTTCAGACATGCTCGACTCGTCCTCATAGGGGTTCAGCTCCGAGTCGTCGACGACCAGTGTATCCGGCGGGAGCAGGTTCGACTCTTTGGTCAACGGGAGGATTGTCGGCGCGGGTTGCAACTCGAGTGCCGCGTCCCAAACCTGTTTCATCAGCTTGAATGTCGAGTCCCTGGATAGAAGGGAGCAGAAAACGTGCCTCTCTTCTTCCGTGGCGATTGCTACCGCATTTGGTATGATCCGCGCCGTCTTCTCCTTGCTGATCTTCAGCACGGAAACCGTGGGTATCAGCAGCTTCGTTACGTAGCCGAATACGTTGCTGTAGAACGCAAAGTAGTTCGGCGTGATGTACAGGTACCCCTGCAGCAGGATGTCGCCTACCAGCGCACAGCTGTAGTAATTCAACACGCGTTCATCCGCAGCCACCTGAGAACAATTTATATTAAATGCTTGTAGCCACGACTACAATATTTATCAAATTTTTTCACCACTCTTCTGCACTCTGCGTCACTACTAATCCAGTTATCATACATTTATCATACGTGACTGCTACTTCACGATTGCTTTTAGCGATAAACTATATTGACTTTATGCGAAATCGATAAGACGATAAAATTGTAAGATAATGCTTGATGAAATAAATTCTGAATAATTTAGGTATTGAGAAATGATGGAGGTTTCAGTTCGTGAAAGTAGCGAAACATATGAATGGGTGAAACTCGATTGATAATTACCTGAGAGAAATGCCTGTGAAATTTCTTCTGCCTGGCGCTGCTGGTTGTCGTTGGCGATGACGTGGACGAGGATCTGCTGACAGCCTTTCCCGGAGTCTGCACGGTACCACCAGCTGCCATGGATGGTGTACTTCTGCTCAGCGGTTTAGAGAGATGACTGAACAAACGAAAAGCGGATATAAGGCTGTTTTATTCGTAATATAATGACATAAGCCACTGATCACGCTGCGTAATATCGATGATCTTAAATAATGCTAAGGCCAAGGCATATTTAGAAACTAAAGATATTTCGTTAGAAAACATCGAAGATGTAAATCTTATGAGTTCTAAATAATGTCGAGGAATTGAATTATACTCGAATTCTCTCAACACCTGTGCCCGGCCTCTTTCGTAACTATTAAGCTAACAAACAACCCCCGATCTCCGCCCAATTAGTCATCCAACATCTTGCGATGACCATCTGTTTTATTTTAGATCGTTGCATAGATCCGCACCTTGCTCTCCTTTTGCGAATCCTCGGGCTCCAGATATCATTGCTCCACACATCGTACATCGGGATAGTCATTTTTGTTGACGTTTGAAATACCATAGCAGACCTGAAAGTGTCTTAGAACGAAGCTAAGACACCACAGATCAGTTTCTACCGAATCTATTTATCTGAGAATGATTCAAGTGGTAATAGTCCACTTGGCGAGGAACTAAAACTTGGAACGACCATAAAGCCTCGAATACGAATCTTCCCAGAAGAATTTTGCCTCCACTTCCAATGGAACGAAGCGTCGGCTACCTTCGAAACAACTGGAATCGATGCAGCCGTTCAATGGAATTTTCTCAATCGCTAATTACTGATCCACTGCGAGCCGGCTTAATGTAAATTAAGGTCGTGCGACGATCGAATTCGGACAAGGATGCGACACCGGTAATTCAATCTCCTGGACAGCATTGCATATCCCAGTTTACCCATCGAACGATTTCATTTACGTAGAACTTAAATCGTTCATGAAATGAATTTACATGAGAGACACCTTAATTTTTTTAATCACCAAACGAATTGATGACTTTTTATTTATAAACACTGTGTCGTTGTGTCATTTACTTGTGACGTCTTTGTATCACTGTGTCTTCCACTTGTGACTTCTTTTGTATCACGAATTTTAGAAAGGGAATCTGATTTATAATTGTTTTAAATGTTATAGAATCTGCACTTCTCGATCGACATAGTCAATGAAGACACAGTATAACGGACAGGAAACGGTGAAAGAATTTCAATAGCGGTCACACGGACGCACGGTATCGATCGTCCGGCAACCGATTCGTGTATCATACGGTGTTAGACTGAGGCGACCAGCAAATATCGTGATTATCAACTGGTTTCGATATTGTCGTTGCTAATACTTGGAATACATACATCCATATAACATATACATATATATCTCGATTTCAGATGTCAATAAAGTATTATAAAAATTGCGCGATAAGACAGACAGATGTTATCGGGCAGAGATTCATAGTACATCCTGTTGTTACCAGGTTTTGTGAAAACTAGAGATGTCAAACAACCGGCTTAAGAATTTTCTCGTTTTACGAATCTTATTACACTTATATCTTTTAAAATATGACATTCAAAATTGGTATAACACTTTGCAAGGCTAAAATGTGCAACATATCTGGAAATCTGAATAAAGCCTGTCAATAAAAATTCACCGAAGAGATTAAGAAACGGAATCTTCCTTCAACAGGTGTCCAAGTAAAACCGTGTTTTTTAGATGATTTCGTTGTTGTATGAACAGGTGTCGGGATATCTAATGATACGTTATCGCAGCTGAGTAATACGCCAGTGAAACACGTAAAAGCTTGTAGGCTCTATATACACATTCTGTGGATTTTTGATAAAAGTTTAACGAATAATCGACGCACATTGAACGGAAATCATTATCTGATTTGCGATATTATATGATATGTATATGTATAACAGTCTGGGATTTATGAACAATGGGAGTAGATAACGTAACGAAGACCGAATAAGTTCCACACGTGACGAAAATGGACATTACTCTTCGCCAAATATCCACAATCTCTTATTTGCAAAGATGTTATCTTGCATTTATTGTGCCTTACGTAACAATCGAGTGTCTTTCATTAAAACGCAAATTTCAAATTACATTAAGTCCAGTTAAATTAGCAACAAGAGATTAACAACCCTTTCTCAGAACTCTAAGATGAGATTCGCACTTGTTTCGTATTGCAAGAGATTTAAATGGCAATCATTTTTGTGTCAATTCTCTTACAATCTTCATATTAATCGCACGAAGCTACTAAAGATTTTACTGATGGCCCGAGAACGAGAAAGTGGTAGAGAGAGGTCGAGGACTCACCTGTCGTTACATTTCAAGGTCGAGTGGCTGGGGCTCCTTGGTGGCTGCGAGTTATTGGCGCTAGCCACTGTAAGCTGGGAGCCACTAATCGACTGCTGACCAGCTTGTTGCACACCGGGGGCTACTTGAAGAGGCGTGCTGGGTGCTGACCGTGCTCCGATGGACCCCGCAGACCTGCGAAAATACGTACCAAACACTCTAGAATTACAGACTTTATTTATGGAATCCACAGAATCGTTATAAATCACAATTTTAATCTGGGCTTAAGGATGTATTGGCTATATAGTCAATACCAAAAGTTTACCTTAGAAAAACGCATTTCCTATAATTAAAAATAGTGCACTTTTCTTTTAATTTCGATATTTAATGAGTTAAGTATGATTATTTGGCATTTTATTGATGTTGACAAAATCCGACCATTCCACCGTCGAAACGGCGAACTTTTGGAAAAAAATTTCGTTTTTCCTCAATAACTCTTAAACCCTTGGAGATACGGGA